CCCCCCCCAAAACATCGGTGAGCGAAACTGCGGCAGCTAAAAACCACGTTACGACGAGTACGCGGTTATTACAGCTGACAATGATGATGGTCGAAACTGTCAACGAGAGACAAGCGTGCCTGAGTCCTCATACCCATCTGCTGACAATGATGATGGTCGAAACTGTCAACGAGAGACAAGCGTGCCTGAGTCCTCTATACCCATCTGATGAAGACAGCGCTTGTGGCTGAGGTTCCTAAGGTAACAAGCCGGTAAAAATTCCAAGCTCCCGGTTTGGTAACTAGGGGGTGAATATATAGACTTGTAATTAGTAGACAGTTGACTGTCTACCTTACCTATCGGCTGAATATCAAGCTCAAGATAGCTTAGTGGTTGACGCGCGGAAGTTACGTGGTTTGAACACAACTCAGGAACCTCGACTGCTTCTGTCTATGCTTTGGCAACGTGGCAGTATCCCACCCCTCATGCTTCCTTCGGGCAAAACAGCAGCTAGGCATCAAAAGAATGTTGTAGTTGAACAAAGACCGTTTTCTCTCAGAATACAACAAGAGTAGAACGGAGAACCACAAGCCTAACTGTAGAGGTGCTCTATAAAGTACGAAGAGGTTATGAGGCAGCAGATACTCCACCTGAATTAAGGAGTTTCGCCGCATTTCATAAGAAAGTTGGGATTCACACCTCACTCGACTGTATCTACTGTCGGCACGGGCCGATTCCGGGAAAGTTAGTGTGCTTCGAAGTGCTAAGCGCACTTCCTCAGAGAACGTCTTTGCTAGTGAACTACTAAGATGCCCTGCTCGTCAAGGGTTTAAATTCGACCGACCATCGAACCGAATAACAGAGTGCGGCTGTTTTCCACAGTAAAAACTTCCTGATGCGCCTTCGGCCACAAATACCTTATCACTGTCATCAATCTCATCATAAAACTCGTTCAGCTGTAGCAACCTTTCGGTGCCTAACTGCCATTTCACCAGAAGGAAGCATGAGGGCTGGAATACCACTAGATTGCTCAAACCTAGACAGGGGAATTCAAGAAGCAGACGTCCGGTTCAAACCACGAACATTCAAGTCAATAGATACTGAGCCACCTCACCCCGCAGCCGTCAGTACAGTCTCTTGTCGAGGAATATTTCAAACTGTTTACAGACGAAGTTCCTGCTCGTGGACTGAATACGAAACCTCCCTTTCGTCCAGATGCTTTCGACCTTACGACTCCCATCAGCAACCGCTCCATCTACGGCAGGGGTCATGAACGGGTACAAGAGATGTTCGAAAATGGCATAGTCGAGGAAGTCAATAGTTCGTACAACCACCCAACTGTGTTTGTAAAGAAGACGAACGGGAAATGCCGATTTTGCGCGTTTGAACGAAGCGACCATAAATCTGGTTGGTGTCCCTTCAGTTGCGGAGATTTTTGACTCACTCCAGCAATTCCGATATTTCACGGTGCACGAATGGCGTTCCAGATACTGGCAACTAGCTACCAAGTCAGAGGACCGGATGAAAACGGCGTTCACGGTTGGGGTCACCCAATATCAATTTAGACGGACGCCGTTTGGTTTATCATGGGAACTATTCACTTTCTGGCGCTTGATGCTTCGTTTAACGGAGGGACTACAGAATGTTGCAGTGTGTGGAGACGATATTATCGTGTATAGCGATTCGGAACACGCCGTTCACTTGAGAGGCGTACTGAAGCTCGCGTGCTGGGCACTTCGATTACAAGAGTCCGACTTCACGATCCGGCACGTGCCAGGGAAGGAGAACCACCAGGCTGATTGGCTGTCAAAACCAGAGGGTGGAGATGAGGACGCGAAGCCATGGTAGGCGCCAATAGGCTTGTCGTTGAAATGGCTCCCGAAAAGTTCCTGCGACTACAGCGGCAGTATCCCGTACTACGGAAGGCTTCAGCCACCTTAACGGACGGAAGAGGTTTTGAGAACGCGACGGGAGACAAAAATCTGAAAGCGAGCACTTCGACCGGCTGAGCCTGAATGAAGCTGACATAACTTACTGGAAGGCCAACGATCCAAACGTCGCACTGCTCGTGACGCCTTGCATCTTCAGACGGAAGCTGACCGTCGAATGTCAGATGGCACACGCAGGGCGCACCAAGACACAACTTATTTCGGCAGAGGGCTTACTAGCCAGGATTAAGAAGTCGGGTAATGGATTATGTAGGGGCCAGCAATCGGTGCCGGCTAATGAAAGGGGATACGACAAGGGCAACTCAACCCATGGAACCTATCCCTGTATCAGAGGTAGACGAGTTATTGTTCGTTGACGTCATGAGCGAGATGGCTCAAGTGGTTAGAGCGCGAATTTACTGACCGGAAGGTCCGTGGTTCGAATCCGACCTCCGCCACTCAACTTCCCCTGTCTAGACTTGGGCAACCTGGCAGTATCCCAGCCCTCGTGCTTCCTTCGGGTGGCATGGCAGCTAGGCACCGGAAGGGTGCTACAGCTGAACGCTTTCGGCGACAATAAGTGGAAATGAATATATCGTAACAATGACAACATCTGTAGCAGCGGCAGCCTTACCAAATCAGCGGGCGGCGATGATCAGTGGGGGGGGGGGTAATGCAATAGATCGTAGCCATCCACGGGGTACCAAAAATGATCCCAATGAATCAGGGTCCTTACTCTGACAGCGAAGAGTTTAGGAGTTGCCTGCAGAAGCTGAACATTAGACGGCTAAGGACATCACCCTACCACTCACAACTACACGGCCTAACCGAACGATTAAGAAGTGGCTGGTGGCCAAAGGGGGTGAGTGGGAAGTGAACTTGGCGATGGTGATGTTAGCCCATCGTGCGTCGATCCGGCCGACCATAGCCGAACCCCACCCATGTTGGTGTACGGTCGACATCCACGCCTTCAAAGTGATCAGGAAATTGAGTTGCGGCCGACAACCCGCCTGTCTCCAAAGCAACTAGGAGAAGGGAGAGCTCGAAAAAACTTCACGGCCAATCAGGAAAGGATTAGACAGAAAACAGAAGGTAGGAAGGCATGATCATTCCCCATATGGGCAAAGATCAAATGGATCATCAGAACCTTGGAAAGAGTGGACTGGGGTCGCGGAAGTTGGTGGCCGGGCCCGTTTGTGCTTGCTAATAAATGATTTCACAGCGAGGTGCTTTTATCCTTTCACTGCGGAAGCTCATGCTAAGCCAGCCTGCTGAGAACAGACCTATCAAAATCAGGGAAGACGAAAACTGAGGCCCGTTTACACAGTCTGTCTAGGCTTGGGCAACCTAACAGTATCTCAATCCTCATGCTTCCTTCGAGTGGCATGGCAGCTAAGCACCGAAAAGGTGTTACAGCTGAACGATTGAGTAGTAGTTATTGGCCTGCCCTTTTAACATCGGGCGAAATGAAAACGGAACATCGGCTTGCCGCACTCAGGTAATGACACCGTGTGTTGTCACAAAGATCATAAACAGGTGACAACAGAAGTTGATCTGGTACTACGAACGCCACATTGAACATGTCGTTTTAAAAAATGGACGCCAGTATTATTATGTCCGTCGTTTCATAGGATGGATCAGGAGCTAGATGGCCGAATCTGCGACACCATTTTTACGTTCGCTCGAGTTTGCCTCTGTAGTTTTACACAACCGAAAGTGACCTATCAGATAGCAGGGGACTGGCGCATAACGACAGAACAGCACCCCCTCACGGTATCGGATTCCAAAATTATTCTCTATTTCCCCAAACCATTGGGACTGGCTTGTGTTAAGGCCATTGTGGTCTGGCCAACTTCCACAAACGGACAACCAATGTACGGCCAACCACCTACGGCTTTGGTTCAGTAACAAACACTTGTTCAGGAATAACTATCCTCTTGCCACCACAAAAAGTTCAGATATGGTTCTGATCGCTCGAGATTTTAATGCGCATATACAGCGCTTCAGTTGATCCGGTAAATTGTGCCATTTGGACCCAACATGAAATGATAACGGCCAAGCAGCGAAACCGCTAACGAAGAGGACTCTGGTTTGAACTCAACGCTGCCCTGTCTAGGCTCGAGCGACCTATCAGTATCTCACTCCTTGAGCTTCCTTCGAGTTGTACAGCAGCTATGCATTAAAAGGTGTCACAGCTGAACGAATCTTTTGGCGATTACCTACTAGTTCAGATGTGACACGCTTTCGGTACCTAGCTGTCATGCCAACCGAAGGAAGTACGAGGAGTAAGATAGTGCCAAGTTGCCCACGGGAGCAGTCGAAATGGAGAGTTTGGGTTCAATACGGTCACTCAATTTACGCTTTAACCACTGAGGTATCTCGAGCATTTGATAATTTATTTACAACTTTGTATCGACCAGTAGTTGTTTTTCAGCAGTATTTACGTGCAGTGGATGACATTGTGTTATCTTATGTGGCTATGCTTTGCAGAAATGTGGAGCCCAATCCGCGCGCTAGCTGCCAGCGGTTGGTGATTATGCTGGAGTACATATGTTGATTTAGAGGACGCCCTCGACATCTATATAAACTTCCCAGGTAAGCGCTAGAAGCTAAATTTGACAGAAAACGGCTATTAGCGAGCTACTTAGGATACGTTGGTAACAGCTTCTGAAGTTCGGGAGATACAACACACGGCATGACCAATTAGTTCGCAAAACTAGGTGGCTGCCATGCCATCCGGAGGAAGCACCTCAGCATTACTAACCCAATGTATCCAATTGGCAACCAATGCGTCGGAAAAACTGACGGTCAAACACTGGCAACTTTCGTATGTCGTCTGCACTTAGAGGTCACGTTTCTGATCCATGGAGCAGTATGGATCACACTGCCAGTACCAAATCTGCCCTTGGCAGACAAACCGGCCTTAAGTTGCCGCCATAGGTAGCTCCAATCAGTCTACCAGGACCTATGCATTACGTCAATGGGCTCGTCCGCAAGCATGCGGTTTAGGTTTGATCTCACTCAGTCTTGTAGCAGCATGTTTGAAGCGCATTTCAAACCGTACGGTAGTTATTTAGGTTACTTAAAATGGTTTGCATTTTTGAAGGATCTGAACCAAGGAGAGAAATATGGTCTGCATACTCAGTGTCCTTGAGCAGACATCTCGGAAGCATTTCAACCCTGAGGTCTGAGGAAGGCAGATAAATTTCTAGCAGCACATCAATTACAAAGTTGAAGAGTGAATGCGACAGAAGGCAATACTGTCTTACACCAGTGGGTATGGTGAACTCGGGTGAAAGCTTCCCGTATATGCACCAAGAGGAGTTCGCATACATATCCCTCATAAGGGATATAAATTTGTAAGGGATACCTTAGATGGCCAGATATCGCCAGTTTCTCACGATCGACAGGGTCAAAAAGATTTCAGATCAATAAAACAACCAACGTGGAACGTCTGAAGGAGTGGCGCTATCCAAGAATGTCTCAAGGCGAAGATATACGGCCGCTGAATCCTCGGCCAGGGCGAAACCCAGCTTGATTTTCACGAATCAGTCTTTCCCGATAATCGATCAACCTAGGCAAAATAATGCCACAGATCACCTTAGAAGCGACGGATGTCAGGCTGATACCCGAAGAGTGAAGCGTGATACATCTAAGCTCGTCCCAAGCGCCTTGAGGTGCACGACCGAAGTGAGCTCTTGTGTGCACGTTTCGTACACTCGACATACATCGACAAGTGGGGAAGAGGTTTCAGCAAGAAATGCCTGTTGCCCAATTTGATACAGAGTACGGATATCAAGGGATGCAACGTTTATCAGACCTCTTGTAGGTAGTAAGTGATCATTTTGGTTTGTTTTTCTGGGCGACACGGAAGTGACTAGGGGATTGGCACGTGCGTTGGTGGCACTGTATCGTTCGACGCGAGGGGAGGTGTATGGGAAGGCTGGCTAGTAAGAAGCTGCAATGGTGAATGATGATTCCCGGCTGCCCAAGCCGAAGAAGTGGGTTTGGTTGAGGTACCCCACCTCGAACCTTTAACTGAAAAGTCTGATCCACAAGGCAGTGGGAGAAAATCGAAATTTTTTCGGGACCCTGCCGCTAGTCTCTGACTCAAAGGTCTGAACCGCGAGGCAGTGGTTGTTAGGATTTTCTTAGGAGGCCCTTACCGGAGCCGAGGACTCAATAGTCTAACCCAATTTGATGTAGAGGGCCGACATGGCCGGAGGACGCAGGGAGTACAGCATCCGTCTCACTCCTTGTGCAGCTGCGCACATTAGGTGCCTTTTGAGCACCACCGGGCCCTTTGGTTTTAAAAGTATTCCAACCGTATTGAACAAACCGCCAGAGGTCATGTCAACCGTTGGGCGATCGGGATATGAGGGTTTTAGGGCCGACCATTTATAACGCGCCCTTTCTCGGTAGAAGTCTTCCATAAGTATGGACATGCTGGTCACCCGGGTGAAATGCCTTAC